TTATATGTAAATATATAATGTTCAATATTTTGCATAAATTTTATATTTAAAATTCTAAATAGTCTATGAATGTGTTTTGGTGGCAGTATTTTTGCAGTATTTCTCGATAAACGATAGCTGTGTGTTTTCCTCCGTATTTCAGCTATTTCAATATACGGTCACATTGATGCCGTGCAGTCTTAAAAAACTTTCGTTGTGTTTTGGTCTGGTCGTTGTCGTCGCGTTGCGCGTTTCGTCCATTCGTATCTGCTCTGTGTTTATTTTATTTGCGTGCGCAACAGCAACAACAACAACATCAACAGCAACATTTAGCGTTCGTTATTAAATTGTGTTAAGCTAATAAATACAGTGTTCATACGCACGTCTTTTTTTAACAGTTGTTTATTTTTTTCGTGTGCGACAAAAACCGGTGTAGAAGCAAAGCAAAAAATTAAAGAGATTTGCAATCAAAATATACAAACCGAAATACAAATACAAAATACTCTGAGCAGTGGGTGACAAGTGCACAAATAGGGGTTGCAAATTTTTTCCTACTCAGGTGCAAGAGAGAGAGAGAGAGAGAAAGACTGGAAGTTGGCCGTAACAAAAACAAATCGTAGCTTCGTTCTTCCTCTTTGCCAGGCACCTAAATTGAAGCACTCTCCCCCTCCGCCCCTCAATCACAGTCGGCAATCAAGAAACCAACCGCCCAGCCCCCCTCTCAGCGCTGCGTGTGCCGCGTGCCATGCGTGACCTCGGCACCAAAATGGCCGAGCTTAAATTTGAGGCTCCATTGGCAAAGTTCGAGGAGACGGACGAATGGGGCGGCTGCGATTTCATTTCCAATCAGAATGCACTGAACGACACGCTGAACCTGAATCTCAGCTCCAATCGGAACCAGAAGGAGGGCAGCGCCAAGCAGCAGCAGCAGCAGGACAAGCTGCGTCTGCTCGAGGATGCGGTCCGTGATGCGCACATCAGCAAGAATGGTGCCGTGGCAACTGGAGCAGTTGGTGGCGCTGGCGCTGGAACTGGAACTGGAACTGGTGCTGGCAACATTAGTCCCAATTGCAATACGCAAAACCTTTCGGAACTGGGCTTGACCGATGGCTTGGCCGGGGGCCAGGATAAGCGAAGCGCCGACAATGTGGACAACTTCACGGAGACCTTTGGCGGCAGCTTGGAGGATCTGGTAAACACGTTCGACGAGAAGATTACCAAATGCTTTGGCAACTACGAGGAGAACGTCGAGGAGCTGGCACCGGTTCAGGTGCGCAGCCAGGAGGAGATCATGAACGAATGCCAGTAAGTGAAACAAGTTTTATTGGGATTCAGCTCATTCTGAGCCAGTTCAATGAGCCGTTGCTTATCAAGCCTCTAGTTCAGCTTACGACTGGAAGCGGGAACTGGAAAGCTTTGAGCTTCGATAGGGCACTCTAATTGGTTTATCAATGGAAGAGAAGAGCTGGAAAGCTATAGAAGCTGGAAGCGTAGAGAAACTGAATGAATTGAGATGCTATAACAGTTGAATAATTGGGGCAGAGCAGATGCTGGAAGAGATTTAAGCGGGAAGAATAGGGAATTTGGTACTATGCAGACTAGAGTAACTATAAGAGAATTGAAAAGGTGAAAGGATTGAGAAGCTGGAAGAGTATAGGAACTGGATGAGGAGCGGTGCTTAAAGAGCTTTCAAGCTGGAAGAGTGGGGCAACTGGCAAAGAAAATAAGCCAAAATATTAAAGAATCTTTATGATAAAATAAGTATTCAAAGAAGTATAGAAGCGTGAAGAGAAAAAGAAAAGAGCTTTTAGATCTGCAGTTTTCCAACGAGAAAATCTATTAGCTACCATTATTAGTTGGCCTTCCAAGCCTGACTTCTAGCGCTGTAATATTTGTCTGGAATTCACTTGAAATTATTGGAGCAAGCTTTGCATTTTATTTCACTTTTATATTTTGTTCTTTATAAACTTGGATTTTAAAACGGAATTGGAGCCCTAAACAAATAGCTAATCTATAAAAGCTTTGAGCTGTAATTCTTATGTAAAGCTTTTCCTTAGGTAAGACTTTGTTTATTACCTTTAAGCTTGGCTTAAACTGTTTTTCCAATAGCTTTTTCGGTCTTTGGAACGTTGCATCTTTGAGCCGGTTTGAATTCGCCCCGTCTCTTTCTCTCTCTCTCTCTCTCTCTTGCTCTCTCCTTCTAGTATTTGTTAATAAAATTACATAAAATGCATTCGGCGATGTTTTTGAAATTTGGGCCAAGCGCATGCGCCAACTAAGCAACCCCTCTGTCCCTGTCTGAACCAACCCTGGCGCCATATAACGACGTAATCCTGTCGACAGGGGGTGGCCGGCGGCCGGCGGGGCAAAGTACCATTGTTGGATCGATAAAAGTCTCCGACTGCCTCGTTGTTGCTCTCACTCTGTCCCTCTGCCCCTCTCTTTCGTTCTGTCTCTCTCGAAGAATTTGTATCTCGAGGCATTTGCTGCAACCCAATTGAATGAATGACAACCCTTGACCAGTGTCTAAGCGGAAGCGCAACCCGAATCCCCTTTTATCAAAACAAAACAATTCAATGATAAACCGAGTGTGTGGTGGGTGGGGCCGAGTGGGGGCGGGGGAAGTCGCAATCAGCGCTTGTCAAGCAAAGCAATTGCAAAAGCAGAAATTGGCTGCGTTTTCCAGTGCGTAGATCATAAATCATAACAATAATAATAATAATAAAAGCAGCGACGTCGACGTCGACGCCGATGCCGATGCCGATGCCGATGCCGGCACCAGCAGCTGGGTTGACCGTTGATAAAAGCACTTGTAAGTGCATTTGCCTGGAAAGTGAAGAGAGCAGGAAATGCATGCAGCGCGAATAAGTGAAAGAGAGTGGGAGAGCGGGAGAGTAGCTGAGTGGCTGAGTGGCTGAGCGAGCTGTGTCAAGCAATCAGTGCTGCCATTTTTGGCAGAGCATGCAGAACTAGATCTAGCTAGAAATGCATAAAAAGAGCTGAATCTTAGTTGTAGTTATTACGCATGTATGTTTATTTCAATCTTCCCGCTGCATGCGGACTTTAATAAAGCTAAGTCTGGTGGGAAAAAACGATATTGGCAGCACTGTAAGCTAAATTAATTTTGGCTCTTGTTGTTGTTGACGCTGACATCAGTCAATCAATTTGATAATCAGCTGCAACTTAACGAATCTTTAGCTCTCAACACGCGCGCATAGGTGTATGTGTGTGTGTGCAAACGCACGCACGCAGACACACACACATGCATACATATTCATGATTGCAAACAATAATGTGTATAAATATATAATGATACTGCTGCACGCAAATCTGAATGCAAATCGCTCGCAATTAAGCAAACAAATAATAATACCAATAAAAACACACACTTAAGCACTATTTATCATGCAGCTTTTTATTCATTTAACGAGCATTTTGCATTTTCGTTTGTTTTCACCGGGTATTGAATATGTGCCGCTGTCTCTCTGTCTATCCCTCTCTCGCCCTCTCTAATGCTTTCCTTTCGACTTTCGACTTGTTTGTTTTTGTATGAGCTTCCCATAGCCTTTGCCCTCGCACACTCACACTCACACTCACACGCTGCGCTGCCTTAACTGCTTTGCGGCAGCAGCAACTGTCCTGCTCGCACTGCATTCGCTGCTGCAGGCTGCAGCCTATGTCATGTGAATGCTGCGCGCTGCTTAACTAACTGTTATTGTCGTCCGCTTTTGATTTTTCTTCTGTTTTTGTTCTTGTTTACCTGCGCGCATCAAGTGCGTCGAGTGGCCGCACTGCAAGCCAAGCACTTTGTCAATGTTTACGTTAGCTATTACTGAAAATATGCTTTCCCTCTCGCTCTTTTGCTGTTTCTGTCTCTCTGTGTTGCTCTCAATCGTTCTGTTTTGAACGAAGGTCGAGCATTGTCTTTGCTTATGCATGTGTGCATGTTTGTGTGTGGGTGTGTGTGTGTGTGTGTGTGCGTGTGTGTCATTTGACGAAGGTCTCTTCCAAGTCGCGCATTTGCTGCGCATAAAGCTGACGCTGCTGCTGCGGCTGTTTTTGCTGTTGCTTCTGCTTTTTCTTCTCACTCTTCTTCGGTTTCCTGCAGTTTATTATTATTATTAATCTATTCTGTTGGTTAAATTCTCTTGTGCCGCAACATCAACACGTTTAACGCTTTGGCAGCTCTACAAAAGCGAATAAAAATAAATAAATAACAAGAACAAGAACAGCCGCGGCAAGAGCAGCGGCAACTGCAGTGTTTGCGGCTCGGCAAACTTTCTGCGGAATATTTGCGTCGCAATCGCCACAACAATAACAAAAACGCAACATCTGCACTGAACCAAAGGCATGACTTAGAAAAAATACGCTTGCAACTGACTTGACGGAGTTTGCTCGACTGTTGAATGCATTGTAAGCAAATAAAAAA